ATATCCCCCCCCCCTGCAGTCGGGGCGTTGACCTAAGGAACCCTGAATAAGGAACGGGGCCCCTTCCTCCGATAAGTTGAGCTTCGATTTCCCATGGAAAACCGCAGGAAAACAGAAGGCAAACTGCAGAACAATCAAGGAACACCGAGCCCCTCCTCAACGAAAAGGGTTCCTTCTTCAGGGCCCCGACTGTAGTCATCACCCCCCTCTCTGCCGCCCCCGAGGAGGGGGGCAGCAAGCGGGCCGCGGGCGCCGGGGCAGAATACGCAGCGGATCGCCCGAGTGGCCCGGGACGGGCGGCGGCCGAGGAGCAAGGCCAGAGCCAGTGCGCCGCACTGGAGGCGGAGCTCCGAGGGGCGGCGCAGAGGGCTCCGACACCAAGTGGCCCGAGGGCCCAAGGACACACAAACAAATGCACACAAATAAGATTATCTCCAATATTTTCCTATATTTTCTGGGTTTCTGTCTTCCCCCCCACTTCCCATATTTTCCCATATTTTTCTGGGGAATCGACGATTAATTGTGTCTGTGTGTTTCTTTTCCTCCTGAACCAAGTGGCCCGAGGGCCCCAGGGCCAACGCGGCGAGCATTGATCGGCGGTGGACAAGCCTCCCTTTGGTAAACCCCCCCTTCGTGAAAACGGCCTGGACCGAAAGCCACGGACCTGGGCCCGCAAAACTGACGACCGCGACGCCCTCTCGCGAACCGAAAACGGCCAATTCCTTAATCGACGTGTCAGGGTAGGAGGTCTGTCCACACCCCGAATCGAGGGCGCGAGTCAGTACAACGCACCAGGAGCTCGCGAGCAACGCCACCTCCTGGCCTCCGTGCGGGACAGCGAGCTGCTGGACCCCCTCGGCTTCGCGAGTGACTACCTGAAGCCGCGCGCCCTTGCCCGACTTGCGCGCGCATCCAAGCTCGGGGAGACGCTCGCCCATGAGCAATTTCTGCTGGAATCTCCTCGTGGCGGCTGCCCCCCGCTCGTCATAGAAGCCGGAGACGCACGCGACAGGCTCGGGGCGAAAGCGGGCGTCCTCGGAGCAGACCACGACGTGATCATCGCACCGTTCCGCTGGGACAGAGACAGTCAGGTCGGGAGTGGGACTGTGACTCTGTTGGGGCTTCAGCGACGTCTCCGAGGGGTCGCAGACGGACCAGTACAATGTGGGCTGCGTTCGCAACCAATACCGGGCGGGGGCGGCTTCGGCGCTCTGCCCGGTCCAGGCTTTCGAGGGGCTCCAGGCTCACTTCCCGCAGAGACTCTTAAAGGGCAAGAAGCATCTCTCGCTGTTCCGCTGAAGCTGCGGGGGGCCCATCTGGCGAGAGGAGGTGCAGCGCTACCTCACCGTCGCGGCGGTGGCCACGGGTCTGAAGCCTTGCGACGTGGGATCGCTCTCGCTGCGCATCGGCGGCGCCACGTCGATGTACCACGTGGTGGACGACCACGTGGAGGTAGGCGACACCTTCCACGGCTACCTGTGAGAGTTGCATGGGCTGATGCGAGACGTTGCTACGGCAGGTTCGCGTCGTGACGACCCCCGCGTTGGTTTCTGACACCGCGTGGATCGTTCAACCTTGAACGATCGGCGGCTTTCCGATCGCCCGATCGTTCCATGTAAGCCGATTCTGGGCCGCTGGCGGCGTTCAACCTTGAACACCCGCGGCGGGGTCGCCGCCGGTCGACACGACGCGAACCTGCCGTAAGCAGATGGCGCAAGGGCAGGTGCCTGGAGGAGCAGGAACGCCAGCCCTTCGGAGGCCGGGCGCGGGCGTTCTGCTGGCGCGGCCGCGCTGCCAGCCGCCGTCGCGGCCTCAGCGGCGAGTGGGACAGCGGGCGGGCCGGTGGCGGTCCGAGAAGAGCCGCCAGGCAGCATAGCACTCCGCGCATCGGAGGGGTACCACGTGGTGATCTCCTTCCCGATGAACGCCGTGATCATGGGCCTCGTCGGGGCGGTGCTGCTGGTGGCGATCGCGCATGTGATCAACAAGGCCGTGAGGACGGCGAAGAAGGCGGTCAGCGGCGTGATCGCGCTGCCGACGCCGCAGATATTGAGCCCCCCAGTGGACAACGTGGATGAGAAGCCCAAGAAGACCAAGAGGGGCGTCGCACCTTCTGCCACATCGGCGCGCAGGGCCCGGTGCACTGCAAAGGGGCCCGTTGTGCGGGCGTCACCCGGGGCTTGAAGAAGTGGACGAGGCGACGAGGACGGTCGTGTATCGCGAGACGGGCCCCCCGATGAAGCAACCTGGGGATGGAGTGCGAGCCGCCGGCTCAGGAGCCAGGCGGGCGCGCACCGCCCGCGCCGGCTCGCAGAGCCAGAGCGTGGGCAGCAGCTGCCGGCGCAGGCAACCGCCACACCATTGCGGGGGGAGCGGTGGCCCCAGGGGGCGAGTGCCGCGAGGGGCGCCGCTCTGCCACAAACGACCCGCCGCGCAACGTGCGCACAACAAATGCGCCGGCGCCGGGCGCCCTGCCGTGGGGTACCATCGCCGCGCCAGCCCGCCTGGCGTCAGGAGGTGGACCCAGGCTGGCAGGCGCTTCGAGGGACGGAGGCGCTGGGCGCTCGCGAGGGCGAGCGCCGGCGTCGCGGAAGAGAATGCGGCGAGAGCCCTCTGCGAGGGACAGAAGTCGGGGATGGACAGACCTCCCTTTAGTAAAACGTGGTTTAGTCAAAACGACCTGAGGCCCAGACCTGGCGGGCGCAAGCCTGGAAAATAACGGCCACGGCGCCCTCTCGAAAACCGAACACGGACAATTCACTAATCGACGTGTCACTGTTGGGGGTTCTGTCCACCCCCGAGGAAGAGGGCTGGCTGCAGCCGGCAAGCTTGTGCCAAGCAGAACAGCTGTCGTGCTGCTGCCGCTGCTGCAGCGACGTCGTCCTGTGCGGCTGCTGCCGCTGCCTTATGTCCTTGAGCCCGCACGTTCTGTGGCTATAGGCTCAAGGTCTAGGCTTTTCTACGTCCAGCTGCTGGCTCGGTCAGCCCCTCGCTCGCCAGCGAGCCCAGTGGAGACAGAGGGGGAGGGAGGAGCGAAAAAGAAGAGGATGAGAAGAAGGACGAGGGATGAGGAGGATGAGGAGACAGAGAGGAGGGAGGAGGAGGGGAAATGAGGGAACGGAGGAAGGAGAAGAGGGAGGAAGGTCAAACGGGCCAGGGAAACGACGGACACCACAAGGTCATTTGCGAAACAACTTGCGACTTAAGCCACCCCGACCCCGATGCAAACGTCGGCCCGCGGACGACTTAGCTCGCGAGTGCATTCTCTAGCCTGGAGGCTCCTGACCTCTATGGTCAAATCGTTTCCAACCTTGTGCAAACGCCACGCGCCATCCTGGAGACGACGGACAACGCGGGTTACATCGCCGTCTTCCGGATTTTTGCCCAACCGGCGAATCTCCCACCTAGACCACCAGCGAAAGCGCAGGAGCCAACAAGTCCCAAACGAACACTCCAACCCGAACCAAAGTCCGTCCCAGCCCCCTTTCCCAGGATTGTCCCACGACCACCCCAAAAAGCCAAGAGACCCCAGACGACCCCAAGAGATCCTCGAGTCCCCAAAGAGGCCCTTTCCCCGAAACCCCGAAGAGGCCCACACTTGATGACCTCTGAGTCTTTTGCGACACGTGACCCCAACGATGATGCAAGACGCCCAGCGTTGCCTTCGAGATGAACCAATATGGCCTCCAAGACGACTCTAAACAACACATGCTCGTTCTATGGCACGCTTCTGTCACATGTGAAATCCGCGTGCCAAAACCGTCTGCGTAGAACAACATCTCGGATCGCCCGTCACAGCTCGGAAATAGCCCAGACTGGATCACAAGAAACTCCTCGGATCCCCACAGATCCTCATAAGGACCACGCGAGGAACCCCAGGACGTCTCGAGTTTAATCAAAGGCTTGACGCATCGAAGCGCGAACGTTTTCTTATTCGGCGCTTCGACACTCGGCGCAAGGAAAGGGAGGTGGGGGGTCTGGCTCCTGACCTCTGCTCAATGCGACTATTTGCAGCAATGCGTTGCATGGGGGAGACTCCGCCTGACTGAAAAGGGCGCACGAACAGCCATGACCAAATCCGGGTGGGGTGGGGGAGGGCCCGCGCCGTTCGGCAAAACATTGAATAGAAAACTGCGGCAACGTCGCATATGTTTCAATACGTTTGCGCCCCTTCTGCGTTCCAGATGAAATCCATTGCCCCATAAGACAAACCTCTATGCTGCCTCAGACAACCTCCAGGCGCTCCAGGAGGAGCTGGGTGGACGAAAGGAGAGGGGTTAGAAAAGGCAGCGGTAGCGCATCAGCTGCGTGCAGTTAGTTCTCCTGGCGCCTTCTGGCGCTGGGAGCGGAATGTACCCAGCAGCAGGGCTGGAACCAACAGATTTCGCACCCTGTTTTCACGACCCCTCCTATCGCCCATCCCGAAAATAGGGGCCCAAAGCCCCCAAGACCACCTCGAGATGGCTCCATGATGGACCAACATTGGTCCAACATGTCCTTGAGACTTGAACCTTTCATGGCGATCCACGCACCTCCCTGTGACCTGTCCGGAGTAATTGAGACAAGCCTCCAATACGCGCCCATAAGATAACCCATCCACACACCAACCATATCGGATACGCTGGGGTTCTCTGTGCTTGCCGCTTCCTGCCTTTCTCAGCCCACAAGGACTTCAAGCCCTGGACACTCGGCGACCCCTACGCGCACCCAAGACCGCACCCGCGCACCACAGGACCTCCACTTGCCTTAGGAACAAAAGAGGAAACGGGGAAGAGAGGGCGTGGACAAGGGGGAAGCAATGAGGGGTGGAGGGAGACAGCGGGGAGAGGACGCAGGAGAGGAGACGAGGGGAGGGGAAGGGGATGAGACAAAAAGAGGAGGGGGAGTAGAGACATGAGGACTGGGAGAAGGGGGGAGATGGAAGGGAGGGAGAAGAGGAGAAACGAGGAAAGTGCAGACGCAACATCAGCCGCTACTGTGCGTGCAGGGGCAGGGCGCACCGTCGCTCCAGATGTACGAGCCCTCCCCGTGCATGTCGTTGGCTGCGGCGGGCGGCCGCTGGCGGCTGACTTCGGAGGAGTGCCAGTCGAGACAGCGGTGGCGCTCCCTGACGTGTGTCGTGTCATTGGGGTCTCCAGACAACTTCCCGTTGCGACGGCTGCATCCGCCTTGAACAACGGGTCCGGCTGCACCCTGGGAGGGTCCAGGGACGGATTTTGAGTGGATTTGGGCTGGGCGTGGTGGCCCACATCCGCTCGCGTCTCAACTGGCCTTCCCCTCACCCGCATCCCTTGGGCGTTGCCTCTTTCTCGGAGGGCAAGCAACGGGGGGATGTGAAGACATGTGAGCCTTTCGTGGAACTTCCTCAACTGACCTTCCCCTCCCCCGCGTCCAGGGCGGTGACTTTTTTGGGATGGCAAGCAACGGGGGAATGTGAAGAGAGGTGGACCATTCGTAGCACGTCGCGGCCCCTGACTGCCCCTCTAGGGCCACGTCCGGCAGCCCTCGATCCCCCTCCCTTCTCCTCTCCGTCCTCCTCCACCTCCTCCTCCTCCTCCTCCTCCTCCACCCTCCCTCCCACTTCCTCCTCCTCCTCCTCCTCCTTCTCCACCCTCGCTCCCACTTCCTCGTCCTCCTCCCTCCTCCCTCCTACCTCCTCCTCCTCCTCTTCCCCTCTTCTTCTTCTCTCCTTCTTCCTCCTCCTCCTTCTCCTCCCCCTTCTCCTCCTCCTCTTTCTCCTCTTTCTCCTCATCCTCCCCTCCCTCCTCCTCCTCCCTCCTCCCTCCTCCCTCCTCCTCCCTCCTCCCTCCTCCCCCCTCTATCCTCCTCCTCCTCCTCCTCCTCCTCCTCCTCCTCCTCCTCCTCCTCCCTCCCCCATCCCTCCTCCTCCACCTCCTCCCTCCTCCTCCTCCTCCTCCTCCTCCTCTTCCTCCTCCTCCTCCTGCTCCTCCTCCTCCTCCTCCTCCTCCCTCCTTCGCAGCAACAACATTGGCGAGCCCGCCGCGAATCCGAACGGGCAGCTGGCTAAAGCAAACCCAGGGGCTCGTCTTTACAAGCGCCCTCCCCCTCGTCCTCCTCCTCCTCCTCCTCCTCCTCCTCCTCCTCCTCCTCCTGCCGCCTCCTCCTCCTCCTCCCCTTCCTCCTCCTCCTCCTCCTCCTTCCTCCTCTTCCTCCTCCTCCTCCTCCCTCCTCCTCCTCCTCTCTCCTCCTCCCCTCCTCCTCCCTCCTGCTCCGTCCCCCTCCTCTCCTCTTCCTCCTCCTCCTCCCTCCTTCTTCTCCGCCTCCTCCTCCCCGAGCTTGCACTCAGGGGTCACATCTAAGGAAAGGTGCGACTGGTCCTCCTCCCCACCCTCCTCCTCCTCCTCTTCCTCCTCCTCTCCTCCTTCTCCTCTTCCTCCTCATCCTCCTTTCCCCCTCCCTCCTCCGCCTCCTCCTACTCCTCCCCCCTCCTCCTCCTTCCCGTCCTCCTCCTACTCCTCCCGTCTCCTCCTCCTCCCCCGCCTCCTCCTCGCTCCTCCTCCTCCTCCTCTCCTCCTCCTCCATCCTCCTCCTGACCCTCCTCCTCCTCCTCCTCCTCCTCCTCCCTCCTCCGCGTCCCCATCTTACTCCTGATCGTCCTCCCCCTGATCTCCTCTCTTCCTCGTCCCCATCTGAAAAAAAACCCTGCCTCCTCCTCCTCCTCCTCCTCCTCCTCCTCCTCCTCGCCCTCCTCCTCCTCCTGCTCCCTGCTCCTCCCCCTCCTCTCCCCTCCTCTTCCCTCGTCCTCTCTCGTCCTCATCCTCGTCCTCCTCCTCCTCCTCCTCCTCCTCCTCCACCTCCTTCCTCTCCTCCTATTCTGGCCCTTTCGCTCCTCCGCCTCCTCCTCCTCCTCCTCCTCCTCTCTTCCTCCTCCTCCTCTGCCCTCCTCCCTCCTCCTCCTCCTCCCCGCCTCCTCCCCCTCCTCCCCCTTAGTCAAAACCCGATCCCCTTCCTCCTCCCTGCCACCGGGAGGCACTGGGCCCAAGCCTTCAACCCCCGCGAGGAGACCGCGAAAGGCTGGCCTCCTACTCGAATTCTGGGCCCCGGAGACGTCGCGGCGTCCAGGTTGGTCAGAAGACAACCCAGCGCTGAGGGGTGAATGCGCACAGCGCACACTGGAAAAGGCACCACAACTTGCTCGCGCACAAGTGCAGCGCGCTGGCGGTGGTCTTGGGCGAGCACAGAGGATGACGAATGTGGCTCAATTTGTTTAGTACCCTACTGTTTGCATTATGTACTGAAGTATGCAATCTGCTCTCAATTCGCCACTCGCCACTCACTTTCTAACGCCAATTCCGCCTCCCCGCCCCTCCCCATCAGAGAAAACAGCCCCAAGGGAGCCCCAAGGTGGCCCAAGAAGGCACTCAGAGAGGTCCAAGAGGGCCCAAAGCGAGTCGTAAGGCAACCCCAGGACCGCTCCAGAGGGCCCCTCCAGGAGCCGATTCGAAACTCTTTTTGGCATTCCTTTGTGCAAAACCAGTCGGCCACCAATGCCTCGGCTTTACTCCAGGGCAGGGGGCGGCGGTGACTCGCCGTATGCGTCTTCGAAGTCTCCGAAATCTCTCTCTCCTCGGTCTACTCTCTGTACTCTCTGTGCCCTCTGGAGCCCGAGAACCCAGCCGCCCATTGGCTGGCAAAGGCGAGAAACTTAAACACATACTCTAAATTTAGGACCTCGGAACCGAGCCGACCGCTGAAACCGGCGGCTCACTTCCTCCCAATCACTGCGACACCGGGAACCCCCAACCCAAACTCCAAGAACCCGGCCGCACACCAAAATTGGCCCGGAACTTTCGCCCAAACCCTACCCCTAACCCCATTAACCCAACCCTGACACCCTAACCCTGACCCTAGCAACCCAACCTCCACGAAAACTCCTCCAATGCAAACTCTGATTGGGGCCAAACCGGCTCCTGGCACGCCACGGAAAAGTAGTAACGTCGGAAATCTGGGAATGGAAACGGGGAGAGGGGGAGGATTGGTGAGATTTCTGCAACACTTAGGGCGTCCTTTGAAGTTTGTGTTGGTTTCTGGAGGTCGGGAACTGCAGCAGCAACAATCCCCCAACGCCCCCCTGTGACTGCACTGGGGGGACAGGGCTGGGAGGCAGGAGAAAGGCATGGGAGGAACGAGGGAACAAGTGGAGGGGGCAGAGGGGAGGAGAGTGAGGTAGGGGCATATGGGATAGAAACTTTGGGGAAGGGGTGCAATGGTTGCCGCTGCTCCGACACGCAGACTCTCGAGGATGGGACGCAGTGGGCGGAGAGATGTTGCTATTGCTTTGTGATCTCTGTAGGCACTCAACAATTAACACTTGACATTATTATTGGACCCCCTCAATGCGCTCTGGCGATCTCGCCTCGGCGCCGGCTGCATATCCTTCGAGGAGGCTCACGCTCGAGCGTTTCAGATGCCGCCGAAATCGACCCCCCCCCCCAGCAAATAACTTTCCCGCTCGAGCTGTCCTCGCTTGTCACTCGGGACCCGTGGTCTCGCCCTGGCCCCTGGCCCCTGGGGGGTTCCCATCTGCGAGACTGTTAAAAGTCTGCCCGCCCCCGAAGCTCCTGGGGGTGCCCCTGAGGTCACCTGGCAAAAGCTCGTGGGGGTGGCCCTGTGTCGAGGGGCACCGGGGCGCTCTCGTCTGGCGCTCTCGCCTTGCCCCTGGATGCTCAGGGTGCCCTGGCCGCGCGGCACCGTTGTCGCCTATTCCATTCTGGAATGTTTGTTCGTCCTCTTGGATGCTCGGAGAGCCTCGGGAAGAATCTAGGGGTTTCCTGTAGGTCCAGGTGGGGAGGCCTGTGGGAACTTTCGGGCAGCTTGCGGACGGCATTGTTTGTCGTCGTCATCGTCGTCGTCAACTTGGTTGCCCAGAGTCCGATCGTCGATGCTCGATCCCCGACCAACGATGCTCGAAGGCCATACGCCGCTTGAACTTGGAATCGCAAACTGCCTAATAGAAATGTCGGCGGATCATGTCCCGGCGGGGGATCTGGGTAAGGGAATCCTGGGCCCCCGATGCATGAAATGATTCTGCCAGGAACGGGGATATACCATGATGGATGCACGTTGAAGATGCAGGCATCGAATGCGCTGGCAACGAAATGGACTTGCCACTTTTGAACCTGATCATGGCTTATCCCCCCGTCCTGTGCCCGTTTTATTTTTATTTGTCGTTTCGGGGCTGAAACTCAATCCCAGGACCCCAACTACAACAACAGCGGTTTCCGCCTGATGCTTCACAGCGTTGCAATATAAATCGCACTCGCGCTCGAGATTTCCCGACAACTCACGACAAGCGCTGTCGCCTAGGACCTATTTGCAATTTACTTCGCCCCCCGCTTTCGACGCGCAAAAACCATGTTGCAAGAGGCCTCCAAAGCTATACCAAAACGGCTTCCCCCTCGTGCAATCGTTGTTCGAAAACCATAAGGAAACAATGCCCCCCCCACCTTCGTTCCTCGATCTCCTCCTCTTCCCCCTCCTCCTCGAAGCCGAGGAGGGGGACGAAGAGGAAGAGGGGGAGGAGGAATAGTAGGAGGAGGCGGAGGAGGCCGAGGAGAGGAAGGCCGAGGACGAGGAACTGCTTGGGCGGCAGGCCTCCGGAATGCGGCTGGAGTTTGCCGAAGTCGTCGACTAGAATGCCCTAGAGCACACTCGGCTCCGCCTCCAGGTCGGAGCGGATGGTACCCGGGCCCAAATGATTTCTTCGCGTCTGTCTGCACCGCTCCGTTGTCGGACTGCGTGGGTTGCAAACCTATCTGGGCAAGGAGGTCAACGCCGTCGCCCTCCAAGGCAGGAGCGCACATACTGTGCTGACTGGTCACGCTATCGCGTGATGTCGTTGCGATGGGGCAATGAACCTCCCAATTCGCTACCTGTGACCTGACGCTTACTTTTGCCACGTACAGTGGAGTTGACAAGTTCTCATCTGAAGGCTGTAGTTTCGCCTGTTGGGATCTCGAGGCCAATTTCACGGCGAATCGCATGCCCGAGAGATGGGTCCAGGCGCTGGCGTCGACGATGACGCTCACGGGCCACCTGATAGCAAAGTGTCTGCCAGGTAGTATGGCGAATCGTTGTGGGCTCGAACCAGTACCTGAGGAAGTTGGCCACCACGGCGGTGTCGGCCTAAATGGAGGCATGTGCCAATCCAGGTGGGCGTCGTAGGGCGCTGCTGCATGCGCTGCTGATGCGAAGCTGGATGCACAGCCTGGAGACCGCATGAGATCTGGCCGTGGTGTCCTGGGGACTGGGGCTGGCCGAGGAGACTGTGCGGTGCCCGGTTGTGGTGGTGTCTCTTCCGGCGCGGCCCCCCTGTGGTACTGCGCGAGCTGGCGCCCTGGGCGTCGGACTCGCGGGAGCACGATCTGCGAGAATGGAGCGAGGCGGCGTCGGTGTTCTGCATATGTTGTAGATGGCGCGCATGGCGCAGATTGCGTCGGTGCTGCAGTCGTGCCGCTCTATCGCCGTGCGCGAAAGCCTCGAGACCGACAGGGCACTCCCAGTCGTCGCCACCGGAGACAGCAGCGGAGGGACGTGCAGCGGGCACTGCAGCCGGCGCGGGGGGAACATTAAAACGGTCTTCTGTCCAACTCTGTGCGGCTCGGCGCTGCTGCTCGTTCTCGTTTTGCGATCGTAGTAGCTCCAGTGCTACATGCGCGCTGTGAAGCTCGTCGAAGCGTCGTCGTTAGGTGTAATCGAAAGGGGTGTGCGTGCCGTGCTCGGATCGGCCGCCGCTGGACATCCATGTCTCGCGGCCGGCGAACCGCGCGGCCATTCTCCTGGCGGTTGGCTCGCGTCTGCTGGCCTGTCTGAATTGAGCAGAGCCAGCCCAAGGGGAGACTCTGGCACTGGCGGTGAAGTAGGTGCCGGTGCCTATTGCGGTGGCCACGTAGAGCTCGCTGCGCATGGCGCGCTGATGCCGAGTAAAGCCACGCAGATGGCATGCAGGTCCAGCTCGGCAACTGCACGTCAGCAGCTGGCGGCGTGAGAGCGGCGGTCTGTGCGTCGAAGCACGAAGCGCGCCCGCACATGGGCACCGTCCAGGGTGCTGCGGGCGCGGCGCCGGAGCGCCAGAGCGTCCGACAGCGAGGCCTGATCACATGATGCCCGCGAAGCTGGAGATCGTGCTCTTGAAGCTGGAAGTCGACAGCTGGAGGTGAGAGCTGGAAGTGGGAGCTGTGCGTCGAGGCCGCTCCCCTGGGCATGTCCCAGAGGGAATGCACCGACAACTCGTGTCCACTGTGGATGAGTTGGTGGTGCTGCGGGCGCCGTCGGCGCTGTGGGCGCGGCTGATGATGGCCCCCCCCAATGCTGCCGCGCGGGCCTGCGACGTTGTCGCAGACCCGCGAGGTCGGCCATCTCCTGCCGCAATCGTCGCAATTCGGCGTCGCGGGGGGTGGGCGACGATGATGGAGACGATGCAGCCCCAACCAATCGTGGCCACTGGCTGCGGCCAGTATGCAGCCGCGAGCCGTCGGCCGACGACCGAGGAATCGTGGCTGCTGCTTCTGGCCGCTGCGCAGCCGATCCCGGCGTTGGTTGGCCACCGCGCCAGAGGCCGCAGTCAAAGACTGCCTCGTTCTGGCAGCGTCCGTGGTCATCCAGACCGCGCCCGTCAAGGGCTGCTGCTCAGCTCGGCCTGGTGGCCCTTGCTGTCCAAGGTGCGCGACTGGCGTGGGAACTGGTGGCGGGGCGTAGACCTCGAGGAAGAGAATGCGCCCTTGGTTGCGGCGCCGTCGGGGAGGGGCGTTTCCGTCGCCCCGCACCCCCTGCCCCGGGCCGGGACGGGGCGCCCCGCGCGGTGTAAGAAGGTTTTTGTTTCGCCCAAGTTGGCTCCGAGAGGGCCTCGACAAAACCCAGGATGACTTCCAATATGGCTCAAGATAACCCAAGATGGTCGCTGTCGGTGGGTGCGCCACCTGTGCCTGAGCCGCTAATCACACTCACATGGGCGAAAGGTGTGGGCGCGCGAGGCGCGGGATCGGAGGTCGCGGCACCAGGCTCTGCCAGTGCGTCGGCCGCCACCGTCGCCTCGGAAGCCTCGGCCGCGCCTTCAGCCAAGGAGTGGCGCTGGGCGCACATGGAGCAAGAGGGTTGCTGGAGCTGGCAGAACGCCAATGCGTCGGCCGCCGCCATCGGCTCGGGTTCGGAAGTCGCGGCACCAGTGAGTCAGCCGCCACCATCGGCTCGGGAGCCTCGGCCGCGCCTTCAGTCAGGGAGTGGCACTTGAGGGACAATGAGCAAGATGAGTGGTGGAACTGGCAGAATGCCAGTGCGTCGGCCGCCGCCGTCGGCTCGTGCTCGGAGGTCGCCACGCCAAACTCTGCCAGTGCGTCGGCCGCCACCATCGGCTCGGGAGCCACGGCCGCGCCCTCGCTCAAGGTTTCGATCGAGAAACTCTCCGACGGAAGGCAACTGCGGGAGGGACCAGCCGTGGCGCCACGCGACCAAGGTGTTGGCGATGCCGCTCGCCTGGCCGACGCCGCGCAGGACAGTGATGCGGAGAATCCATGGGGCGATCTGTCTTGACTCCCAGCGTCTGGACCGCGCCGTCCCTCATGTCTGGAGCGCGCCGTGCGGGATGACATACAAAAGCAATCATCGCGGCCAACATCATCATCACGCGTCGTCGCCAACTCAGGGCGCATCACCGGCATTGTCCTCATCACAACCACCGATATTGTCATCAGTTGGTTATTCCCCCCAACCTCCTTATCACCCGAAGGGTGTTCGTATAGGTGGTATGTTCCTGAAGTGGTAGGTGGCGGTCCCGTTCAAACGCGGACAATTCTGAGACTTTGTCGACCTGAAGACCCGGGTGCTTGACCTGCCCTGACACTGCGTGGAACGAGGGCTGCTCCTTTCCAGAAGCGAACCCCTTTCTCACCCAGCGCCGCACACGATTTCTCTAGGCGGGAAACGATCCCCTTTCTTGCCCACTGTGTCTTGTTACGCCGTGCGGTACGACTTCGGTCTGACCGTTCATGTACGATTCGAAGAACGCAGGGCCGACTAGCCATAACTGGGGGAGCTGTGGTCCTTACCCCCCTGGGGGAACCCATCGCATCGACGATCTCTCGAGAGGGGCGTCGAAATCGATGGGTCCCCCAGGGGGGTAAGGACCACAGCGCTCCCCCAGTTGTGGCTGGCTTGCAGGGCTATCATGTGGTAGGCTCACCAGGCGCCTGCTCGCCGTCATAGAACGTTGCATCGGCAAATGAAGCTGGAGCTTCGTACGGAAGGGTGCATTACAGAACCTCTGGCGTGACGTCCCGGGTCTCCCCTGGCCCTCCTCCCTAGCATCTCCTCCTCTTTCTCCCGCTTACCTTACCTCCTCCTTACCCCCCTCCTCATTCTCCCTCTGCCTCTCCCTGTCCTCCTTCTCGTGTTTCTAGTCTTCCTCCTCCTCCGCCTCCTTCTTCCTTCCGCGTCCATCGTCGGCTGGGTGGGTGGGTGGGCGGGGCCGTCGAAGTTGCCCTCGTAGCTGCCGCCGCCGCTCCAGGTGAACTTACCATATCCATGCCTGGGGGGATATCCTTCAGCTCCTCCCCCTCCCCCTCCCTCTCCTTCTCCTTCTCTTCCTCACCTCCTCACCCTCCTCCTCCTCCTCCTCCTTTTCTCCCTCTCCCCCTCCTCCTTCTCCTCGCCCTCCTCCTCCCCTCCCTCCCCCTCCTCTTCCCCCTTCTCCTCCTCATCCATCCCCTCCTCCTCCCCCTCCTCCTCATCTTTCCATCCTCCTCCTCCTCCTCCTCCTCCTCCTAATCACCCTTCCCTCCCGCCCTCTCATCCACCTCTCTCTCTCTCACTGTCTCTCCCCATCTCCCTCTCCCCCTCCTCCTCCGTTCCCACCTGCTGCTCCAGCTCCCCCTCTTCCTGCTATCCAGTCCTGCTCCCCTTGCTCCTCCCTCCTCCCTCCTGACTGACGAACGCCCACGCGCGGCATACCCCTGCGCCGCACGCGCTGAGAGCGGGCTGGAGTAGCCCGCCACGCACGCGCGCCTCCCCCCACCCAACCGAAGTGTGCGCGAAACCTTTAGGGCAGGAACGCCAGGACCGCTCGTTACGCCTAGGTCATGTGGGCAGCGCGATAAACGGCGTACCTTGCCAGTGGCGCAAGAGACGCGGTATTGCAGATTAGTGCTGTGGTACACGTGGATCGTGCGGCAACGCGGTATCCGTACCTCGCTGTATTTGTCCCGGCTTCAGGCTGGCTGTCGCGCCAAATGTGAAACGTGTTCAAGTTCTCTTCCCCCTGGTTGCACAGGGGAAACGTCCCCAAGGTGGAGCCCCTTGCTCTGTACCCACCCGTAAGGTATAACATGAGGCAGGCGCGGCGGTGCTCTATCAAGTCGTCTGCGGACCTCCATGCCTGCCAGCAGGCTGCTCGTACCGTCTGGCCAGAGGACCTTGGCTGTCTGGTCGGTCAGCTCCTGTACGGTGCAATCGCTGTGCTTGGCTGGGCGTCCCGGTGACCCCTTCTCAAATATATCCCCTACGGTATAACCGATGGCAATAATCTTGCGCCGGGTGCTGCCATTCAAGCTTCATTCTACCGCCTCGTCAGTGTGGACATTGGCCAACCCCTGTTCCAAGTATCCTTTTTAATGGTGTCGAAATGCGCCGACTTACCATTTTGTAGAGGTGCCCATTTTGTAGAGGTGCAGCGCTTTGAGCAACAGCCCTCTTCAGATCTTGCCATTGCCGCAAGGCTGCCTGCTGTGCCTGTAGGTCTGGGTAATTCCTGTGCCTCAAGACGTTTCCCGTTTTTCTGATAATCGATGTATTGATCCGTGGGGCTGCAAATTCGGCGTCACGGGTGGCCAAATGCGTTCGGACATCTGCTCCTCCACTCTTGCCTCCCTCCCGTGAGAACCACCATGAGCCTCACCTGTGTGGACCGCCATTGGCCTCATATCCCCTAGCAACTTCCACTAGTTATTGAGGCTGATAGGGCCTCGCTCCCTCTTGTGAGCTATTTCACCTTGCCGTCAATTGGCATCAAACGGGGCCGAGGCTCTCAGTACGGCCCCTCGGCCAACGAAGACGTCAGTAAGGAGGCATCATATGTACCTCGACCTTCTGAAGCACCTTCGTATGACGGCGTCAAAGGCAGCACATCAATTATTTTCCTTCCCCTCCCATATACTCCTGGCTCTCATCCCTCTCCTCCTACCCCTTGTGTTCCGTCTTCTTGCTCCCCTCTGTTGCCTCCTCCTTCTTATCCTCCTGGCTCTCACCTGAGCACCAATCACATTCGTCTTGCACAAGTGCAACAATTTCACGGGTCGAGGGCGGGTGTTCAGATAATGATGCCGCGCGCGCTCGTCTTAGAAATTCGCAGCACTCTCAATAATGGAGGGCAGACCATTGTCAAAATATCGCTCTCGCTGTGGCGCCACAGATATCCGGCACACAAGTTCACAATACGGTGGCGACATTGGATAAGGAAACCTTCGATAAATAATCCAGGGTCTGGAAGCCGGTGCAGAGCCATAAGGAACCCTCCAAGGGCTGAAGCCTCCTGGGCACGTTCCTTGACGAACGCCCCCACCGTAGCTTCAAAGATGGAGGACGGCAATTTGTCAAAATGTGGTTCTCGCCTTAGCGCCGCGCACTCGCCCAGGCATTTGCAACAATTTCAGGGATTCATATGGCTAAAGTCCCAGAGCTGTTGTTCTGGCAAGACTTGGCGATGCCACGACGTAATCGTCACGTTGATTCGCGATGTTGACGTCCCAGGATGGTGTTCTGGAACGAGTTCGGGTTGTCAGGACGCAACAGAGTCGCTGAATTGCGGCGCTGAAAGCCCAGAAGTTGTGTTTTGCCTGGACAAAAGGTTCTCGCACGGATATCTTCCACTGGGGCACTTCCCGCAGGGGCATATGGGGAGGGAATTTAAAAGGGAAAATTTGTTGCAACATCGAACATGCGTCTGGGTTGTACACCGGTCCCTCCTCCTTCTCCTCCTCCTCCCCGTCTTCGCCTTTGCATAGGCATTCGTCCCATGCTGGGCCGTTAGATCTCGACAGCAGCCGCGTCGCAGAACGAAATACATGCGACGCTTAAGCCCGGCAACTTTACGATTACACAATATGAATACTACTCTCCTCTCTCCCCTAGTGACGTCCGGGAAATGGCCGGCCCCCCTCCGCGTACTGGTGTTTTACACGCAGGATTCCTGGGAATTGGGTGTTCGCTTGGGCTTTCTTTTGGGCCACTGCTCGTTCCGAATCGTGCTCCCGCTGCAGCGCTGGCCTCATTTCCGCGCTTCCGCTTGTTTCGAATCGTGCTCCCGCTGCAGCGCTGGCGTCATTATTTCCAGCGCCATGCCACGGCATGGTTTCTGGTCCTTCCAAATAGGCCCCAGAATCTAGAAAATGGCCTCCCGAAAAAACCATCGGAAGTGATTACACATTCGGTGCCGATTCGTTGATTTTTTGAGCCCCCCGCCATTTCTGGGCGTCGGCACGCCATGTTATGCCAGGGTGCGCGTTGATCTTCAACACCACGTTATACCATGTAATGCTATGCTCTGCTACGACCTCCGACTGGGCGAATACAGAGGAGAACTACGCCATGGTAAGGGATGATGAGATGAGATGAGATGAGATGAGACCAATGACGAAGTCATGTAACAAACCGCTACCTCTCCCTTGGCCTTCGCGGCGAACGCGAGCACATGGTAGCGCACCACGAGCACATGGAAGGAGTAGGAGACGATGAAGAACTCTACCGCACCGAGCACGACGAGGGCCGCGACGGTGAACGCGTACCACAGCCAGTTCAGCGATCACTGCTGTTTGCGCTGCTCGTCAGTGGGCGGCGAAATGCCTGGGAGTGGCCTCCTTGCAGCAGCAGCCCCTGGGGCAGGAGAAGTCGCGGTCGCGGAAGCCGCGGACCCCGTAGCAGCTCCTCTTCCTCCTCCGCCGCGTGCAGTACCAAAATGGCCGCCCTGCGCGCCCCGCAGCACCTCATGCGCCGCCACCGCCTTCTCCTCACGCTCGGTGTCGTCACGCTCCACTGCATGCACGGCGCTGGCCGTGGGGGCCCCCGCCTGGCCCGTTGCAGCGGCGATCTCCGCGCGGAGGGCGTGGACCATTTCCACGATGCTGGTCTCGCCCTCCTGCGTTCCCGCGGTGGCAAACGCCGCCGCCGCCGCCGCGCCCGCCGCTGCAGCCGTCGCCAGGGGCGGGTGGGTCAGTGCCAGGGCAACGCCCTTATGGCTCCCCCCATCTCCCCTGGCTTCAGCATTTCCAGGCTGAAGAAGAGGTGCATCCCGCTCGTCATCTCCACCTTCACCGTGTGGCGGGACGTCCGCGGGCTCAGCACTTGCAACAGCATCATCGGGTCCTGCATCTGGGCCGCCAACGAGCGCCCCTCGGAGCACCTTGCCGAGGAAGGTGAGCTGCCGGCCACGGTGGCCCACGATCTCGTCGAAGGCCTTCAGCAAATGCTGCGCCACTCGGCCTTGCGCCCGCGCATATTGCGCGCGGCGCTGAGCGGCCGTCCGGTTCGGCCGGCGAGCACGCCGCCGCAGGGGCTCCGGATCCATCGCGGCCCTGAGGGAGCGAGACGAAGCGCGGCAAGGGACAGGAAGGGCGGCCGCGAGGGCCGCGGACGCGCGCGAGCGCCGATGGCGCGGGCTCGGCAACCCAAATCGGGCCGAGCTGGCAGCTCGCCATGGTAAGGGATGGGAGGGAGGGTTAGGACGTCAAATATGATGCGAGCGCACCTAGCTTGCCCCGCTACCCCTCCGCTCTCCTCACTCGTCCCTTCTCCCCCGTCACACCGTAGCCAGTGTGGCTCAAGGCTCAAGCGCGCGGGTCTTTCTTCCGTTCGCCCTCCCACCGCGCCTGGGCCCATGTGTGTCGGCCTCAGTGGGTCGCAAGGCGGCCCGCGCCTCGGCCATGGCTCCAGCAGACAATGCACAGGGAAAGCGTCCCACCTCGCGCGCATGTGTCAGGTCGTGCTGAAATTTGGGAGCGTCACTATGTTCGTTGCGTTTAGCTGCATGTTCCAGACGTTTTTTTTAATCTCTCTCTCTCTCTCTCTATATATATCGGACTATCCATATCCAATCTCACGTCCAAGTTTATCGCCGAACGCGCCATGAATTCCACCATCGTAATGCTCTTCCTGGACGGAGTGTCGCTGCGCCGCTTCGCGATGCCCGCGATTGGTTGGGCCCCGATCGTGACAATCGTCGGGATCCGAGTGCTCCCCCAGGACCCCGCTTTCCCTGAACAATCCGTTTCCCTTCAGCATGTTCCAAGCTGGCGGCACGTTGGCTCCCGTGTCGTGGGTCGCACCCGCCCTGCACGCTTCTTTGTTTTTTGTTCGGATCGGGGCAGGGCTGAACCTAAACGGTGTTTTTCGTTTTCGTTTTGTTTTCGTTTTCCCTCGTTCTGTCTTCGATCCGCCCCTGCCGCAAAACGAAGTCGAAACGAACACGACCCACGAAATCGCCAAAACACCGTTTGGGTTCAGCCCTGGATCAGGGCCCAGTGGGCGGAGGCGGGATGGCGAGAGCGTGGGAGGGGCGCCGGGGGCGGAGGCGGAATCGGAGGCGGAGGAGCAGAGCAGGAGGAGAAATATCTGGACCTGTCAGCCTTCTGCAGTGCAGGGTGTATGCCTCAAACTCCCTCGTCGTGGATCGCTGCCCGCCCCGCCCCCTCCGCTTCGTTTTGGGCCTTCTCCCGTGCCCATGCGCTTGTGTCCATTTGCTGGTCCACACTTTCTCTTGTCTCAGAAGCAACCTGTGCACGGCGTTGCCCGCCTGTGCTCTGTCTCCCAATTAGAGCTTTGCGTAGCCCGCCTAGCTTTTAACCGGAAGAGGTTCGCTCTCGACCCGCAGACCAACAATTGTGCACGGCGTTGCTGTGCCCTGGGCTGAACGCGTCTTTCGTGCACAGTTTTTGCCAGTTGTCGCGCAGACCCCTGAGCTCGAACCACTTCTTTTGCATGGCTCCTCTCTTTGTGCTCAGTCAGGGTACTCCACTCTGGCGAACGTTTTTTAATTCGGCGTTTCGACATTGGTCGGAAGGGGGGGGGGGCAGGCCTGGCTCCGGACATCTGCCTGGGGCGACTGTTTGCAGCAGTGCGTCCTGTGGGGGAGGCTCCACCTGTTCGAAACTGGTGCCAAAAATAGCCAAGATCTACTCCATGGAGGGGGGGAGGGGGGCGGGGTGCGGGGACCCGTGCCGATCGGCAAAACAACGAATAATAACGCGATCGCCTGGCTTCCCCCGTTCGCCCATGCTTCGCTCCCTGCCCCCTCGGCTTGGGTTGGCGACGGCCCGCCGGGCATCGGCGCCCCGCACATTTTGACGCGTTGCACTCGTGCCCGTGTCATCCTCTCTGGTGCCACAGTGTGGCGAGCAGGCGATTGCGACATCACGTTTTTCACCGCGCAGCTTCCCCATGTCTACCTCAGCGCTTCGCGCATCGTGGGCACAGCGCCGTGCTCAAGACACCTTTCGACGACTCCCCCGTCCCCCCCGCTTCCTCGTCCACCTCCCACTCCCCCTCGCCCCCCGCCCTCCTGCACCCCCTCCTCCCGTTCCCCCTCCCGCCGCCCCCCCCCCTCGCCCCTCCCCCCTCCCGCTCCCCCTCCTGCCGCCCCCACCCTCCTGCCCCCCCCTCCTCCCCCTCCTCCCGCCCCCCCTCCCCAACTCCCGAGGCCGCCTGTCCCGGCCGCGAAACTGCCCCTCGAAGACGGAGCCGTCCTGCCGCCCCAGGCCGAACGCGGCGGCGCGGCGGGAGGGGGGGGGAGGGGGCAAGGAGGGCGCGGAGGAGGAGGAGGAGGAGGAGGAGGAGGAGGAGGAGGAGGAGGAGGAGGAGGAGGAGGAGGAGGAGGAGGAGGAGGAGGAGGAGGAGGAGGAGGAGGAGGAGGAGGAGGAGGAGGAGGAGGAGGGAGGAGGAGGAGAGGAGGAGGGAGGAGGAGGAGGAGGAGGAGGAGGAGGAGGAGCAAGTGGAAGGGTTCGGTGGCAACCCATGGGAGCCTCCCATACCATCTTGTCGGCTCTTGCAAATCAGCGCTAGTCGACGCTAATCGACGTTACATCAACGCTAACCGACGCTAAATCGGCGCTAAGCCATCGACTCCCAAACGCTAATCGACGCCAAAGACAAAAGTAAGAGGGTATACCGGGCTCCCATGCTTTGCTACCGAAGAAGGGGAAGGGGGGGAGCAGAATGGCTGCACCGAGCGCTGAGAGAAGAAGGTCTCCTACCCCACTTCTGCCATCAGATTGCTTCGTCGGTGTGTTGCCCTTTGTAGACTCCTGGGGGGAGGAAGAGGAGGAGGAGGAGGAGGAGGAGGAGGAGGAGGAGGAGGAGGAGAAGGAGGAGGAGGAGGGTGGGGTGCAGGAGCAGGAGCAGGAGGAGCAGGAGCAGGTGGAAGGGGAGGGGGGGGGGGGCAAGATCAGCAGAAGCACCAAGAGGTGCAGAACGCCAGTTCACAAGGGGTGAGCTCATCTGACGGCCTCCCCCAACAGCCAGAGGTGGCCCCAGACAGTGCGACTGACTTCATTGCAGCAAGAGGAGCAGAAAGAAGAGGTTCCTGGAGCCTCTCCTATCTTTCTCGGATGGGCGGCGAGCGAGGGAGGGAACCGAGAAGGAGAAGGCCCTCTCAGAAGGCGGCGGGACTTCTCAGAAGCCCTCGCGCCTTCTGAGAAGTGTTCTGTGCCTCCTGGGAAGGCCTAGAACACTGCTCCGAAGGCCAGGGGCGGCTGCCGAGCCTTCTGAGAGTGCCCGCCGCTTCTCGCTTCCTGCCCTCGCCCGCCGCCGATCGGATGCCTCGCAATGTTTTTTTTTTGTGTGGGCTCCTGCGGCCTGCTTTCCGCTCCTCCCGCAACACCGGTGCCGCAGGACGCTCGCGTGGGGCGCTCCTGCCCGCTCGCTCCCCGCGCACAGCGCCTCGCCGGCGCAACTGCCACAAGCAGCTTGTCAGAAGGCTCACCTTGAGCGTGCTCGCCCGCGTCGAGCAGCCAGCAGCACCGCCAGCGGTGCGGCCAGGAGGCACGCCTGGGGAACTGGGAAACTCACGCCGAGTGTGTCCGCTCGCTCCTGGAGCTGCCGAATGCGCCCTGACTGCTCACCCGAACACCTTCCACGCTGCCACCGCTCGGAGGCGCTGTGCCTCCCGCGCCCCCCCCGTCCCGTGTGCCTCCTGCGGGCTTCGTGTGCCCGCTCGCTCGCGGCGCACGTCGCGCGACCGGCACAACTGCCCCGATGCGCACGCTCACTCCGCGCGGGCCAGCTCGCTCCCGGGGCATCTCGCGCCGGCAGCGTGGTTGCCACGAAGGTCACTCCGAGCGTGCCCGCCCGCCCCCTGCGCACATCGCCTCGCCAGCACTGCTGCCATCCAGCCTGCCAGGAGGCTCATCTAAAGCGTGCTCGCTCTCGCCTGGCAGCCATCGCGCTGCCAGCGCTGTCGCAGGAAGACGCGCCAGGAAACTCACTCCGAACACTGTGCACTGAGGTGCCTCCTGCAGCCCAAGCGCCCTGGGCCAGCACCCTCCCGTGAGCATCCTGTGGGCTTCCTATACTGAGGAGGCAAACTCTATACGCCGACGCTTTTTCTGGCCCCGCATTGGCATTCGCACAGGAAAGCGGATCCCCGGGAAAACGGGGAAACCAATATACACCACACCACCCCGACGCCATCCCCGACCCTCAACAAATCCGGGCACTGAAAAACAGCCCGCCACTGGTCATGTATACGTTCCGGCTTCCGACATGCGTGCCCGCATGCTTGCGGCACACATCGGGTGATCAACTTACTCTGGGTTTCTTAAAAGGCGTCGGGGGGGCGTCACCCGCGCCGACAGCCCCACATCGACCCCCGTCGCGGGCAGCCACCGCGCGCCGAAGGCGCTCCGACCCCCGTCGCGGCGCGACGACGAGGCGAGGTTGACCCCCCGTCGGGGGGTACCCCGTAAAAGAACGCGAACGCCCTATAGGTCCGTTCCCGTTCCCGTTCCCCTTCCCGTTCCCGTTCCCGTTCCTGGTCGCGTTCACGTTCCCGTTCCCGTTCCCGTTCCCGTTGCCGTTCCCGTTCCCGGTCGCGTTCCCGTTCCCGTTGCCGTTCCCGTTCCCGGTCGCGTTCCCGTTCCCGTTCCCGTTCCCGGTCGCGTTCCCGTTCCCGTCTACCCCCCCTAAGCCATCTAGACGACCCAAGAAGCGGGAACGACAACGGGAACGTCAGCCTCCCACAGCCTCCTACAGCCTCCCACGGCCTCCCCAGAGAGGCCACTACCGCTCCTACTACCACCACCACTACTACTACTACTACTACTACTACTACTACTACTACTACTACTACTACTACTACTACTACTACTACTAATGCTAATACTAATACTACTACGACTACACATACTACGACGACTACTACTACT